TGAATTGAAGAAAACCCAGGAAACTCGAAGAAGAATGTTGCTAAAACAACTAAGTAGTATAAGGTATTTGGCACGCCAAGCCCAAAGTTTGCAAGGTAAAACTGAACTTGAGAGTAACTTGCAACAGTTTTAGCAATTAAGAGCGGAGGATGTACCTGATTTGTTGTAGTGGATTGACAACGGAAGATATCTCAGTCACGACATCATAAACGAGTTGATTAATATGATGGGCAATGCAGTCCTGAGATCTATAGTGGCAGACATCCGTAAGGAATCACAATTATTTAGCCTAACTGCAAGAGACATAAGCAACAAGGAACAACTAACATGTATTTTGCGCTGGATACCTAGAACCGACTTGTCCGTCCATGAAGATTTCCTCGGAATGTACGAGCTAGAGAAAACCGATGCTGAAACAATCACCACTTCGCTGAAGGACATTTTGTTGCGATGAAGTTTGACGATAGACGACTGTCGATGGCAAACATATGATGGAGCAGCAAATATGGCTGGAGGCAGAAGTGGGGTTGCTGCCCGAATATCTTCTGAGAATCCTCACGCCTTGTACATTCATTGCGGTAACCAAGTCTTGACTTGGCTTTGCGTGATTGTGTAAAGGAGAGCTGGATTATCAGCGATACGTTGAAGGAGGTGCAAGAGTTGGTGTATGTGAACAAGTAGCAACTACCTTGCAGAAGCCTTCAATAACGTCACAAACAACTGTTACTTGCATAAATGCCTTGAAAACAAACTTGCAGCGTCAACGAGAAAACTTTTTGTTTTACGACCAAGTAGTTGCTTCAAGCAAGGCTATCAACTTTGTAGGCGATCCAACACAACCAAGACCGAAAAAAGTTCCGTGGCGACTTCAACACGGAGATGGCGAGCAACATCATTTCCAAACTGCTAAAGACGCCCACCGTGCCCAGTATGTTAAAGCAATTGATGCGTGCTTGGCTTCACTTCAGGAGCGCTTCGATCGAAAAACATATTCTGTATTGATGAACATCGAAACCGTGCTCATTAATGCAGCAAACGGGTGTAAGTTTGAGTTGAATGATGAGGTTGAACACCTTTACGAAAATGACCTCGACTTTGACCAGCTGAAGGTGGAGTTAAAGCTTCTTGAAGAAATTATATCGCAGCGACTTCCAGAAGTAAAGAAAGCGACATCAATTGACACCATAACATCAATATTCTCAACCGAAGAAAATAACTCATCGCAGATTGTCATGGCAATGTCTAATGTTGTCCGACTCTTGCAGATTTACCTTCTTGCTCCAATGAGCGCAGCCTCTGGAGAACGATCTTTTTCATGCCAGCGGCTTGTCAAGACACATCTTAGGAGCGCAATGCGGCAGCACGCTACAATAATCCTATTGTTATGCATGTAAACAAGGCCAGAACTGACGAAATGGACTTACGTTTAATAGCTAAGGACTTTGTTCTCAAAAACGAACGTAGGGTTAGATTTTTGGGGAAATTTTAATGAGATCGCATTACTTAATAAAATTGTTCATGTAGTCATCTTAGTTCAATTTGTTAGCACGCACGCCGAGCAGTAGAGAATACGCATAGCATTCTAAGAATGTCTACCAATATTTTGCAGACTTTGAAACTTAATCATGATTCATGAAACAATGCATATCTGTAATATACTAAAACAGTAAGCTGCAAACTCACATGCCCTTTTCGGTCAGTGCCCCCCCACTTTTGAGATACTTCCGCGGACCCTGCTCCTTAGAGAGTACGAGTTGGCAAGCGCAACTATTTTTTGTGGAAATAAAGCAAAAAAAGGAAATGGGAACACAGGTTTGTATTCTTTTTCTCAAAATATAACTAATCTATATTAATGTATACGCTTTCCTTATTTCTGTTGTCCAGATCAAATTGTTATATGAAACCTGAATGTTGTCATATTCTTTAATATAAGAAGTACTATAATAATGTCCATGCACATTTGAGTCTTACTATCCTCAGTCTGTCGTTGTGTGTCGAACGAGCAAGGAATAGGGAAACTACACTCATCGTAAAAAGGTGAAAACCAACTCATAGGTAGTACTTTAGTCTAAAAAAGGGCAAGAGGCAAAGCACAGTTTTTTGTTAAAAAGGGTTTCGTTTAATGTGTACAGAATACAACCACGTAAATCACACAGTAATGTTGAATATAATGGTTCAATTTGAACTAAATGAAATCACTTATTCTATTTTTAATCGAAAAAATGTTAGATCGCACAAGTGCCAATCACAAGGTTTGGTGGGAAGATGGCCAGCTTCCATTTGACCATATACCGTTCGTTCAAGTGAACCATAGGGTCTACGATTGTCGTCATGGGGTAGATAGGCATTCAAGCCAAAAGAAGAAAAACAGAACGGTAATAGATATTATTCATCTGCTAATGCAATACTACAGATTTAATAAAAGTAAATAAAAGTGAAACGACGTTGCTAACCTTATAGTACGTTGTAATTAAACTTCCAGTGTGAAGAGCTTTGAAGGAAACTTTGAGTTTTATTGTATTTTAACATTGTCATGTAATCTTGGTTTCTTTCTTCTTCATGAATTTCTTCAGCTACCTTTCCTTTTAGGTGTAATTATTTACCAACATGTTTATATATTTTAGTCAAATTCTAGCGACCATTCGTTTAAGAAGCACAGAAACATGGTTCAAGGAACAAGAAAATTGAACTGTTCAGCACAAGTTCACATGAGAGAATACATCAGATTTCCAGACTTTAGGGTGATTTTAAATAACAGTGATTATTCGTATGCATTACTCGATCTGACAGGTGTAAACAACAAAAATGTCTCGAGGTGTCCAAATCAATTTGCCTTGAAACTTTACTCACACAGGTTTTTTGATAAATTTACGCGCCTTTAGATTAAAGAGCAAACGGTTTGGCGACAAAAATCGATGTCGAAAAAACTTAGGGAATGCTTACAAAAAGGTGGAAATGCCAATGGAGAAAGGTGGATCCATATCCAGTTGCCTTGCCTATCTGAGCACAAAACTCACCCTATAGGAAGCGTAAGAATATATTTAGTCCTAGTTTTTGTACGGTGCAAGTCAATGTCTTGCTATATTGTTTTTAAACCTTACGTTTTATAATCATCGTGGGAGCGATGGCTTTCAAAAAGCAGCAACGGACTGCTCCCGTTAAAAAATATGATTCTTGCAATACTTCGATTAATTGCCAGAGCGAGGACGGAGGCTGATTACGAGGAAAATGTTAAAAATTTTAAGTCATCAGAAGAATGGAAGACAAACCCAAAACTGCGCAACTGGTTTGGCAATACATGGTTATCCCAATACAAGGCAAGAGAATTTTATAATTTGCAAATAATATCATTCTTACAGTGCTCATCAATAATTACAATACATGTTGATTTCGTTAATTTTCTTGCGTGGACAAAATTTAGAGAAATGGGTGTGGACCTTTCGAAAAGATCGACTGCTAACAGTCATAAACACAAATAATGGCGTGGAAAGGCAAACAAAGCTTTCAAGCATGAATATTTGGATGGTTACAAGAATTCAACGTTGAGCGTCATGCTGACAGTGCTAATTGAAGACTTTTTGCCCGACCTTTACTTCAAGTACTTATTTTTTTTTTATTTACTTGAACAAGTCTCTTAGGCGATGGCGAAGCCAGCCCGATCTTTTCCTCCAACAAATCAGATTTCTCAGCAAAATTATTGTTCATTTCTTTAGAAATTCGATATCATTCATTGTCTTTCCATTGATTAAACACAAAAATAGATGATTTGTAGAGGTACAAAAAACGGGCTGGGGAATTCGCTGCTGCTGTTAAATACGAAATTGCAGAGCAATTACAGGCAGTACAATTATGATGTCCAGTCATACCTTCACGAAAGACCACACTCTATGATTAGGCATTGTATGGAAAGACGTGCATCGTCAGAAGATACCCTTGCATCACACATCATGGTTGTTGACGAAGTGCATGGAATTTTCAAAGTTCGTAGTCAAGACGACATATGCAAGTTTTATACATTGTCGTTTGGAAGTGATCCAGGTGATCTTCCAAGCTGTGATTGTTATGACTGGGAAAGACACAGGTTGCCATGTAAGCACTTCTTTGCGATTTTCAAGAACTTTCCACTTTGGTCATTTGATAAACTACCGAAGTCGTACACGGAATCTCCATTTTTAACAGTTGATCGAATAGGTTGCACGTCTGCAATGGAAACAAAGCCATTTGAGGTAAGCCAATGTCACTCTGATTATTCTTCACAAACCGTCGAAGCACCAGAGGAAAACGAAATCCACGTAACTAGGGACAAGAACATTTTCCCCACCATTGTAGCTGAGCTAAAACGAGTTGCTACGAACATGGACGCGCGTGCATATTAAAACCAGTGGAATAATTAGCCATTGCAGACTAAATTATCTAATGCAGATATCATTAAATGTCACTTAGGGGCTGTTCACATGAGCAAGGGTAGCTGGGATTCAACAATGCGTTAAATCATTTAGGTAAATAGAAAAGATTAAATACTTCACAACAAAAAAGACTTATTTGGGCAATTCTTTATATTCTCTGACTTTGCAAAATCACAAAAACTTTAAAATGGAGACAAATAATTTAGCCTGAATGGAAAATATCAAGTAAAATGATTTATGATGCTTAAGACACGGTTTAAGTTTTGAGCTTGAAGTTTTGACTCCTTTCATTTACACAAAACCAATTCAAGCCTCGCTGACAATGAGGAAGCTTATCTCATTTTCTTTTGTTATTAATGCTTCGGTGCATGTAAATTTTGACGCTTGAAGCAGGCCTCAGTGACGTATTTGGAGTTTGAGACGGAAGTGAGATTTTGTCTCAAATCACAAGCCATGTCAATACTTGATTGCATGATTGGCTCAGTTAAATAAATTTGCACATGTATTTGAGTCAAATTCCGTTCGCCAAGGTTTACACTTTCAGTCGAAATTAACTGATGAAAAAGTATGAGTTCAAACACATCCGGAAAATACTCTTCCAAAGAAGATATGCCAGAGACAACAGCTACGGTTTCTGCTAGCAGTTTACGCTTTGAAACAGAGAAATACAGTGAATTCCGTTTCTCGTCATGCCGTGTACCAACAGGTCAAGAACAATCAGGAGCATCCACAAGCCACACACCTTACCGTTATATTCAGTTTCTTAAAGAAATAATTGAGAATGCACCACACAAACAGATAACGTTATCCAAAATCTATAAAGTCATCATCGAAGAATTTCCTGTTTATACAACTGCTCCACGCTTTCGCTATGCTCACGTTAAAGAAGTGTTAAGACACTTTGACTGTTTTGTTGAATTACATCGGATATCGAGGGAAAAAGATAGCGAACGTTACTGGACAATAGATCCGGAGTATCGTGAAAGTATCAGTTCCATCCACAGTGTTTCACAAGAAGCGGAGAATGCGCAACGTGTGCCATCTTATGAAAGACCAAATTTCAATGAAATAGAACTAATCCAGATGGCAATCATGAGTTCACCACGTGAAAAAATGACATGGGATCAAATTTGTGAATTTGTGGAGGATAACTTCCCTTACTTCATCGACTCTTATAGTATATGGCGTTTCGCGATTATCTTCATCTTATCAAGCAGCGATGAGTTTGTTAAAATAGTTCGGAAAGATAAAGTCACTTGGCATTTCTGGAAAGTAAACCCGAGTTTATGTTATATCAGTGGCGAAACGTATGACAGTGTTAATTTACGCAGGCCAAGCAGATTCATGAAAGCAAATGAAATAAGAGCGCCAGCTTCCATTGCACCGTCGCAGACAAACTTCCAGACATTAAATGAAGCACCAATTGAAGTTAATCCTGTTCTTAACAAAGACATAACTACTTCATCAGCCTCCACAAAATCAATTTCTTGCGCAAGAGCAAATCCCATTAATGATATTTATCCGACTTTATCGAATTCTTTATTAGCCTCTATACCCTCCATACCCTATATACCAAAACTAATTCCTTCTACGCATGAAAGCCTGGGCACTACAAACAATTCTGTACAGTGATCATCCGTCTCTGTAGCTACACAACAATCTAAACCTTTTACCCCTATATATCAGCCTACTACATTCATTCCTGAACAATATAGAAAGCCATTAGCAAAGAATAGGGAATCATCAGATGACGAAGAAGACCCATTTTACACTAGATAAACATTCACGGTGGAAAAACATCGTGAAAATCTGTGACTTTAAACAGAAATAGAAAACACATAAAGACATTCGCACGACGATTTGTGATAAATTCTTAAATCGTATATTTGTACGTTAATTTTCCTTAGGCTGATCTTCGCTCTTGCTTATTTGAATAAAATTCGTTTTTATAAAGTGTTACTTTTCATTCTTAAAAAGAACATTCCTAAGAACTAACCGTAATACGTTGGTCCTTTAGTATAGTATTTTTATGCAAGTTCAATTCTGTGAGTATTTACAATATTCATATTAGTTACGATAGAACTTTTTTGTGACATAGACCTTGTACAAAACTTAAAAGCAAATGAAAGCATCCACGTTACGCGGAGCTTCTATAAAACTATGAGAAATAGCTAAAAACAACAAAAAATAATTTTAAGGTGTTTGAACCGATGTCTAAGCTATCCCGTCCGTTTTAATCTTTTTTGTTTACTCAACTGAAGCAACGAATTCCAAAAGAAGTGAATGATGGAATAATGTAAAATATACATTGCAAACTATCTACATTCATCCTTACTATTTATGCAACACTATTCATAAGAAGCATCTTAAAATATAATAAAGATTTAAATTCCCTGTTTTGGAAGTATCTATTTCATTAAAATTCGTCTTGCCAATTAAGACAGATTTTTAGGGAAAAAAAGTTGCACAAAGCAATTGTCAATTCGAACGATATTCTTCAAGATGATAGAACATTGGTAAAGCAATGATAATGGCTGCTTTCGTTTTAAATGTTTTTCGATTTATAAAGTAAGAAGATTGCAAAATTGCTCAAAAAGATTTATGTTGTAATAATTATTGGATCGTTTCCATTTGCCAAAATCTTTTTATGCTTCGCTGAATCCCGGCTACACGGGCTCATGTAATCAGTCCGTTAGCTTCAGTTTACCTTACTATTTATTTAGCTCTGTCTTAACCGTTTACCATCCATACACCAATGAAGTCTATATATAGTCTAATATTTCATATTACTTCCTTGTATATTTGCACCATTCTACAAACTTATTTATGAAACTTTCCAACAACAACTTAACACTTAATTTGCTCGACCACCAGTGAAAAAGAACAGTGACAAAATTTTGGGCTACTGTTTCATAAAAAAAAAATTCTTTCTAATGTACAAATAAAAATATGACCGCCACTATCCTCTAATTTAGCGATGTTCTAGTACAGGTCGCCGTTAACCTTGACAAATTTTTGAGAATACTCTATCATTTAGGAAATTTTGTTGTCCATCAAACTGGATTTCAGTGAAGAAAATAAATACATTTTTTCGTGTCTTGAAAAGACATGTATCGTATTGTTCACTTTTTATTAACTTACTGAATCAGTTAAGTAACCTTTCACAAATAATAACGCCGATTATCCAGTAACTCTTATCTAACGATTTCTAACACAGGTCTCCGTTAACGTTAACTATTTTATGAGAATACAATTTTCTCATGGCAATTTTATTGTTCTTGAAATACTGATTTCAGGGTGAAAAAAAATTTTCTTATCAGATTTTGTACTATTGACTTTTTGCTCGTTCATGACAAAGAAAGAATTTTCGTTTAGATTTAGTTACGATTTTTTGAAAAACAAGATAGTCAACTGCGAATTAGTAAACTTTCTATGCAATTATGTGAAAACAATGTTGTTTTTTCCTTTATTGCAGAGCTTGGCGAATCTTTTGATTATCCCATTAAAAGTGTACAACAATATAATAATGTTTTATGAATAATGCATAAACGTCTTCAGTTTAATGAGAAGAAATATAAAATGACCTTTAACTAGTTAATTTACATATTACACAATATGACAATCCTTTTATCAGGGCGGATCTAGACTATGTCAAGTCCGTCGCGCGACTGATGTTTGAAATTCAAAATTACCTATTCATATTAATTAAAAATCATTAATTATTCTTACTTTATTATCGCATTTACTTCGTGATAAAAATCTAGCTTTATTTATTATTGAAAACTAATGACTAATCCAATAAATATCTCGTTGGTAACCAGATCAGTTGAATTTTAATTGACCTGGAATAACCGACTGTTAAACGGGGTGGCTTGACTGGTTCGACCGATAAAGGAGTCTATGAACGCCAGAAACGCTATTTTATTGGTCAATGGCCAGATCAGTGGACGATCTGGAATAATCTCAACCGATAAGCGGGGTGGCCGGACCTATAAGGGAGTCCACTTGCTATCGTGTAATTGGTTCGTTTAAATTTTTGTCTTACTGTGATTGGTTTGACCGATTTCGACTGATAGCCAACTGAACTAACATAGTCAAGCTCACTGTCTGAATTGAATGATTGATCGTTTTATAGTAATTTTCTAAAGCATGATAGAACCTAAACTACAATCAGATAGAATTTATGGAAATCTTTTACAAATTCATATATTGACATGAATGCTGCTTTCTAAACTGGTTTTCAAGAGGGTGAAAAATTTATGGATGAATTGTAAATGCTTGGCAAAGACGATCTCGCGAGCTACATTTCAGTTATTGATGTTCAAAAGCAAGCCAACATTGTTTTGAGAAATTTACATCCAAAATCGTAAGTAAAGGGCAACTGAAGTGTATGCATGAATGTATTATATCAAATCAATTTATGCGAGTGTGTGATGCGATTTATGTTAATATGGCGTATGGTAAGCAGATTGATGCTTCTAAAATTGTTGTTGCCGAAGGACTTTTAGCTATGATCTCTTTAGTGCTTGGGTAATCGTGACTGTTATATGGCAGCGAAATCCTACATTCCTGCAAATATATTTCAATGGACAAAAAATCTGTAGACATAAGGCGCCATACTTATATTTACATTATCATAAACAAATGTTTGGGGCTTTTTAGTTTATGATCATTGATCGTTCAATCATTGGACAGTTATACTACATATTGTTTAAGATTTGAGAAAACTAACATTGATTACATGAGAAGCTGTTTTCTATAACTTGTGATTTTGAGTCTTCTGATCCATGAAGCTTTTTATTTTGACAATTTGACTGGAATGGTATTAAACCTTTAGTATTTCACATACATGAAATGCTGTCCCATGTCACATATTGTCCCCTTTTCTAACTGAACACCTCATGTAGAGATGTAAAGTTGGGTTAATCTACGGCTCATACCAGATTGTTTGCCATAAATTACAAAGGGCTATTGACGTATGAAAAGCATTTTCGATAAAGTAAAAATGACCTCCTATGCATGCAGCTAAACCTTGAAATTTGGCAAAACAGCAAAGTATTTTCATGATCACTAAGTAATTTTTCTGATGATCATTATAATTTCTAAACTAAATTATTTCAGATTTACATTTAAACGAGCTTTGATCATATGAAAAGATATTTATCATAACCAGTAAGCATGACACATGAACCAATTTTAACATTCATGTAATTATATAATTAAAGACATGTTGGTTACATTCTGTTTGTATTTGATAATACAATGCTACTAGTGATTGCTATATAGCACACCTTGCAGAAGATAATAGTCAAGTGAAATGCCTAATAAACATTTACGGTATTAAGCTGTCCTTAACTGCAAATTTTCACTCTGATAATTTTTGCTTAATATTTGGCAGAAAAAAATTTTGAGTTTTTTCTCAAAAGGGGAATTTGCTGGCACTGATGTGGAGATGGGTAAAGAGTTACAATAAACTTGCATGGTTTTAAGTCTGAGCTTTTCTACATCTATGAACTGTCACTTGTAGTACCAAATTTCTAACTTAACTCATTACATAGAGGTTTGAATGGGGGTCTCTAGGGGTCTATGCCTGACAACTTGGTAGAAATTTTTAAAGATTATATCTGTTTTTGAATAGCATTATCATAAAATAAATTTTACGTTCCTAGACATGCTAAGGAGTCATATATTTGGCATCATAATGAGCCTAAATGCTTGGCAAAACATTCAAGTATAGTTTACTTCATTTTTTTTTTGAAAAAAACGTAAGCAAAATGTGTTGTTTTACGCAAAAACGATGCCCACAAAATACATTTTGTAATGCTCTAAAATGCTGAAAATGGCATTTTTAAGGCTCTGAAATTCAAAATTTCTCAGAGGAGAATTCCTCAGACCCCCCCCCCCAGATGTGGAGCGCCTCCGACGTTTTATGACTGATGTTTGAAAAATCCTAGATCCGCCCCTGTTTGTAATATACATGAAGTTACTTTATAAACCTCAATGCTCCCACGTTTCAGGTGTAATTGTCGATGCTGTCATACCGATTTGTTGGAAGGCACATTAGAGTACAGATGCTGTAAGGAAATTGGACCAGCTTTGCAATAGTAGAACAAAGCATGGCTTATAGTAAATTCTAGATATCAAACAATTTATCGTATTGAACATTTAGAAATTCTATGTATTCTATTGATCTAGTCCTTGTGCACAGATTCGAGATGTTCTTTGAATCACACACACAATACCACAAAACAGAAATTTTATTTTTATAAAATTTAAAAGGTTGTATTTAAATATTCAAACTCTTTCCCACGTACTGATGCAAATTTAGGCAACGCATTCATTAAAATGTTACATTTCACACTTTTTATCTTGATAAACAGGACTAAGTGCACAACAGTATAGGATAGTAATCATTTTATAAATTTTAACGCAAAAGAATATGAAAAATTAAAACTTCTCTCTCAAATTTGAGATTAAGCAACAAGAATATACTTTTTTCCAAAAAGAATATATTAGAGAAAAGTAACAAAACAACAAACTCGCGCGCACGAGTTTACCAAAATTGTAATACATATAAAAGTCGTATGTTTGTACATCAAGACAACATATCAATCAGTTAAGTCAACAACATCTTATACCTGTCAAAAACTTTTGAAAAAAAAAGTTATTGATGATTTACTATCTAAAACAAAACTAGTTTCTTGTCAAAACAATAATAGCTAAATTGATCGCTAACATTCGTCAGAGTGTTAATGACTTAACTTTGTATTATGCAAGCACGTGGTCAAATTATGATATTATGTGAGCTATGTTCATTTATTTAAACTACTTCATAAATGTAGGCAATGCGTTGAAGAAATAAAAAAACACCTAAATCTTTAATTATGACAACG